AGAACAGAAGGATAAAAAACAAGCATTGTTTGGGGGAGGGAAATGTTCTGCTTTGTTCTGCTTCAACAACAAAAAAAAAACTTTGAACATTCTTGTCATGAAACTGGAAACCAATGCTTCGATACTGACCAACTCGCTTATTTAAGCTACTTGCTTTAAACTTTTGCTAGCTGCTTAGCCATGACATTGTTCAGAAAAGTTTACAATATCTTGCACTTCTGTGTCAAAAAGCGATTCAGTGCTTTGCCTCATCTACAGCCATTCGATGTTGGTTGCAGATGGCCATGTGTATGTCTATTCAGGCCCGAGACTAAAGGCTGTGGAGAAATACAGAAGACCAAGGTTAATGGTGTAACTATAAGTTTATAAAACATCTGAGAACATGTAGACTTGTCAGTACTGCTCCACCAGGGGAATAATCCATGTTACTCAGTTAATATAACAATACAACAAATAATTGGATCACCTGCTTAAAAGATGGTAAAAGTTTCTATTTTATCCCTTAAAAAGAGTAAAGAGTAATCAAAAACAGTCAAATCCTGCCATATATGCATGTTTTTATGGCTTTTGAGTAAAACTATTCTTGTCATAAAGGACCAGATTCAATTGTCCCAGACGTCTATTATAATGACTACTTGTAACACTACTTTCTCCCATAGCCTGGAAGTGACAACTTGAAAAAGTGATGTATAATTAACTTTGACCAGGGTTTGAAACCTGAGAAATGTGTCTTTAAAAACAGGGCCCCTGTTTTGGCTGCACACATCGATAAATGAAGGTTACGTTTATTCTCAAAGACCCTCTAGGCCATAGATCACCAACTGGTGGACCACGGTCTGAGTTCGGACCCGGATGCAGTCCTATACGGACCTGGACCTGTGGTCAATTAATTATGACAAAATTAAAAAAATTGATGGGTTGCTTCTATTGTAACTGGTGCAGCTTTTCTTGTGTTCGTGGCGTTGGTTTACTAGCTCAGGAAACACACAGACCAATTGCGTGCGGGTTCATCCATCCCACAAGACGCTACTTAGACAATGAATTCTCTGCATTGTAGGCACCAAAAATCACAGCTCTGCTGCAGGCAACAGTTGTGTGGTAAGGGAAGGATGAGAGAAGAATAATCAATAAAGAAAAATAAGTAACGCTATACAAAGAGGAAAATGAAGAGATATTTGAGACTGAAACAGGGATTGACTTAGCAGGAAAAGAATGAGTGAGAAATAATCACAAATGGCGCTGCTGTCTTAGAAAAGAAAAGTGCAAAGTGAAAACAGAGCTTTCAACCTGGAGTGGAAACACTCATTCATGTTCAGCCTGCCCTCTGGGAGCACAAAACCTCTGTGTCTGATATTCTCAGAGACCACAGCAATTATCGAAAGTGGCAATCTCAAAAAACAAAAAAAAACTGACTAGTCATACCCACTCAACTGTGAATGGAGTTTACAAAAAATGAACAATAAAGCTATTTATTAATATATATTCTCAAAATGTTTCTGAACCATAGTGAATTTATTTGATTTGACTGTCAGTTATTGATTGCATGCAGATGCTGAGAAAACCACACATATGGACATTATGATGTTTCAGACCTTTGCTTTAACACAGTTTCTTTGACTTAATATCTAGGCACTGTGATCGACAATAGCTTGAAATTCAAATGTAATACCGGAGTGCTGTGCAAGAAAGGCCAGCAGACTTTTTGGTTTAAGAAAGCTTGCCAAATTTCAAATTGATAAGTCCCTGATGTCATTGTTTTCTTCTGCTATTATTGAATATGCCTCTTTTATTGAATATGCCCCCAGGCTTACAGAAATGGTTTAACCCTACTGCTCAGGAGCCAATTAAACATTATGGCTCTCACCTGTTCAAACTGGGTGAGTAGCGAAAGGGCTCCTCATAATCATGTAAAATCAACATGTCATTAACGCATTGTCAGCATGTTGTTATTCATTGTCTACCCATTAACAACACAAAGACAACACAAAAACATTGCATAAAAAAATCTACACATCGTGTGCATGTTGTGTGTGCATTGTGTGCGTTGTTTACCTAGAAAACACGTAAACAACACATGAAAAATCAGTGAGTTGTTTACCTGTTATTAATGTGTAGTTCATGTTTTGTTCAAGTGTTTGAAGTCTGATTGCCTTCCATCGCCTGCGATATGTGTTGTGTTGCTCTCTGCTGAGGTGCAGAAGAATATGCTGAAGATGTGGCAGGAGCCACATCTGATGTGGCAAGAAAAGACCCCCATGTTGTCAGTTTTTGCCCCTCCAGCTCCATGACGTGCAAGTTCAAGCAACTGACCCGACAGTGGCAAGGGAAATAAAAAAAAAGCTGTGACTGGCGATCTTGGTAAGAGATACGTGAGTGATAAGCCCTTTCAGTTCATGACCTCAGCTCTAGATCCATGCTCTAAGGTACTTCCTTTCTTGGAAGAAGATGAATGACAGGACACCTTCGCTGCCATGGGAGCAGAGGCAGCGCAGATTTCTCAGGTGAGGATAATCAGTATTTTTAATATTACAATTGTATAGGTGCATCTCATTGAGCTAGTATATTGAAAATATGCCCATTTTATTTGTTATTAATGTTTGAAAGACAAACGTCTCTGCATTCTTAAATTCATTACATGTAAAATAACATATTTCAAGCCTTTTTTTTATTTTGATGATTGTAGATTATTGCTCACCAAAATTAGGAATACAGTTCCTTAAATTATTGCAATATTAATAATTAAAATAGAGGAATGTACAGCTTCTGAATTGCATGTTTATTTAGAAAATAAATGGGGGGGTTATGGCTCCTTCATTTATTAATTTCTGAGGAAACGTGCACTTTTTCACAATATTCTAATTTGTTAAGATGCACCTGCCAAATTTATTATTGTCAAACTATACTCCCTGTTTCAGTGTGTTTTTAACATGGTGATACCATAAGTCATCTTGTGAAGTTATGAATATCATACCAGAGCAAGAAGAGGCTGAAAGTGGATCTTCTTCCCAGTCCCCACCTAGCAAGAGAAAAATGGACTCTTCCTGTGCTCTTGCAGATTTATCTGGAGAGACATTGTCTCTTCCCATAAGACAGAGCTTGTCCAAGTCACAGCATGATCAGGCAGTGGATGAAATAAAGAAATACAAAGAAGATCCATTGGCTCTCAGTGGGGATCCAGTGAGTTGGTGGAAGGACCACCAGGCTGCTTTCCCCTTACTGTCCAATTTAGCAAGAAATACCCTTTGCATCCCTGGTGTAGCTGCAAAAAGGGTTTCTTCCACTGCAGGAGACGTGGTAACAGCTCAAAGAAGTGCTCTGAAACCTAAGCTTTCAGCTTTTGTTCATATAGGGCTTAGCAGCTGCTTTCCACTTCAAGTTTTTCTTAATTCTATGTTCATTATGGTTATTTCATGTGTGAAAAGCTGATGGACATCCTTACTACTGCTTACTAATTGCCTCTCTATGATGACGTGAACTTCAGGACTCTTCACACCTCCATTGTTAGCAGCTGTCTACTGACCAACATAATTGCCATCTTTTCCTCAATACTGAGCACAGTTTCAAGACCACATTGAGAGTCTTAACCAGTGGTAGTTAGAGTGGAGAGGAAAATACATTTTTGATGAGGTCTGGGGTTTAGATTTTAATTTTGGCATTCAGAACTAGACCTTTAGTAAAATTAGGTTGCTTTAAATGGTCAAGAAATAAGGAGCATATTCCCTAGCTAGAACATGATGTAAATTGGCTTTAGTGAGAAAAAAAACGGTTTTTTTGTATAAGTATTTATGTATATGTACTTATGTTTATTTTTTCCATTATTACTTGTTGTGAATAAGCTTCGCTCTGTACATGAACACTATTAATTGCTCTCTGTCAAAAGTGTGCGATTGGTCCCAGGGGGTGGGCGATTGAGGGGTTATTATATAATACTGTCTGTAGTAAGTGCGTCTGTGTTTATGTGTATGTGTTACATAAATGCAACACTTCTTAAACATAGTCATAAATAGAAAAATAATTCCTGACCAGTTTGACTGTCTGGGGAGTATCTAAGATTGGATTCAAAGAACATTAAGCAACATTTCTCTCTAACCCTTGGTCAAATGGGAAAAATAACTCAATGAGAGATTAATTAAAATTGAAGTACATGATGACCGAGTTATTAAAATTTTGAGATAACAAATGTATACGGCCAAGATTAATATTAATTTAGCATCAAATGCAACATTTTTCCTTCACCCCTTAAATGAGAGCTCAAGTGACCAATTTGTAATAGTTTTGGTAAATTAGGTGAAATACTCTATTCTGAGTATTTTTGGAGCAACAGGCAAATGAAATTTTAGCCCCTTTTTGTTGTTTTCAACAATACTTTTTTCATTGCTAAAGCCCATACAACCTTAATTTCAGTCACTTTTCATATTGGTTAATAATGCACAATTCAGCACTGCTAAGAATTCGGAGTAAGTCTGCCAAGCCTCTCAGTATCTAGGCCAGGGACTCCTAACTTGTCTGTCACAAAGCCTTTTGGATGAAAGGCAAATATCCCTAAGGGTCTTAACCAAACCCATTACTTTGACAATTTGCAATTACACAGAAATTTGAGGTACCTTGACAAATTTGTCTTAATCCAAAACAAAACTGTCCTCATTTTGTTGCTACGGCTCTTTTCACATCGATGAAATGAGTAGCAGAGAGCACCAGACACTGAGAGCATAAAGTTTAATTCTGGGTATCTTGTCAATCATGATCATGTCCAAGTCAAACAAACAAAAAAAGAACATCCAACATCTTGTCACAAAACAAGCCTTCATAGACACAACATATGTCAAGTGCAATAAATATATTGAGTGATAGTCAAAGTTGAAAAGCAAAGATATAAAACCTTGAGTGAGTACTCAGAAGCATATCAAAACTCACTGTTTTTCAAGAAAAGACAATGCTCAGAGTGAAAAAAAGACCTATGTATGTGTATATAGATTATGATAAACAATATATTAACAGGCTGGCTTACCTCAGAGATGCAAGCAGTTTTTCTATTTCTGCTCTTGGTTTGGATTGATCTCACTATGAAGCAGTGAGATCAATCCAAACCAAGAGCAGAAATAGAAAAAAACTGCTTGCATCACCAGCTCAGAGCCATGAGCCTGGAGGAAAAAAGTGGGTCAGTTTACTTGCAGTTTTAGTTGTTCCTACTTACGTATTCTTCCTTTGCCCTCTTTCCATAAATGTGAAAAGCCTGAGTAAGCATTCTTATTCCTCACAGCTTGCCCTCTTTCTTGCACTGTTGAGCTTTGTTTTATTAAGTGCTGGGAGTGTGAGGGAATTATTCAGTTTCTCAGTGCCCTCTGCTGAAAAAGCAGGGGCAGCCAGGCAAGGCAGATGGCTGTTGGTATGTTGTTAACCCAAGTTACAATTGCAATCTCCCTTTCTTGCACGTCATCTCTCAAAGTACACCTGGGACTAGAGTGTCAGGCTGTATTGTCAGACTAATAGGACAGATGGGTATGACTTGACAAAATGTCTCATAGACCAAATGGATTGACTCCATGAGGCAATGCAAGGCTTTGAAGTTACCCCTCACAATCCATTCACAGTGTTGCACAATAATACAAACCTTAATTCTAATCAAGTTGGAACATTGTGTGAAAGTTGACTAAAATCAGTATACAATGATTCACAAATACCATTTGACCTATGTTCAACTGAAGACCCTACAAAGACAACATATTTAGTTTTCAGAATGATGAGCTTTGATTTCATGCAAATATTCACTAATTCTGAATCTGATGCCTACAGTGTGTTCTAAAAGGTTGAGACAGGAGCACGTTTACCACTGTATTGCATCACCTTTCACTGAATTCTTTCTCACTCTTGCTTCATGACTACTTCGGTTGCTAAACAGTCCGGTGTCTGTCTTTTTTTTGTGCGTCATCATGTGATACACATTTTCAGTGGAAGACAGATCTGGACTGCAGGCAGGCCAGTTTAGTACATGCAGTTTTTTTACTACAAAGCCACACTGTTGTAATGTGCAGGAGGCATAGTGGTAAAAAGGTGGGCCTTTAGCCTCTTTAAGAACAGCCTTGTGTGCCCAAGTCTGTCATGCCTCTAGTTTTGCAAACTCGTACCCTCATTATCTTGTTGAGCTGTGAAAACAAATAAGAAGAATAAGCTTTCTATACCAAGATGTATTTTGTACTAGGCTGGTAGCATGCAAGGTCTTTGAGACAGGGTGTGTATACGGCTCTCAGAGCTTTTGCAGCTGACCCTTAAGTAGAACCTAGAGTAACTGCAGTTTTTGGCTCTTCCGCACTTGCTTAATATCTCAAGACTTGGGACTGCTGTTTGTTTTATCATACAGTATTCTCTAGTGTAATTCAATGCATCTTTGATGTAAAATTTCATGACAGCCAACATATTTTTTATTTTTTTGTGCTGGCAGCATCTATGACCTCATTTTCAGAGTGTTTCTTATCTGTACACACAGTAGCAAGCTAATGATAGTTTTGTTGGGGCACATTCATTTCCACTGTATTGACAGTTGTTTTTTAATAATGGGAATCTACAATAAAAAAAAAAAACAGCAATGGAGAGGAACCATGTCTAGGCATTAATGACAGCTCTAAGACTTCTTCCAAGATGGCGCCCGGAGTAGGCGCCCTGGTGTTTTGGTGCTCGTTGTTTTGTCTGTTTTTGTGCGTTAACCGTGTGTCATCGTGCTCCTACACCCGCGAGGAGCTTCTTCACATCAGATTAACTACACCCACAGACATTACGCCACTCTTTTTAGCGTCTGCTGCTGAACTGGTCCACTTTTTGGCCAAAAGAGTGAGACGCCGGCGAAGGGGAAGGCGAGCTGGGGTGCTCAGACAGCGAGGCACCCGTACGCCCTTACCTGGGATTTTCCTCTCCAACGTCCGCTCACTCAGCAACAAGATGGATGAGCTAGCACTGCTGATGAAGAAGAATAGAGACTTCTCCTCATCTTGTGTTCTGTGCTTCACGGAGACGTGGCTAAATGCACAGACACCGGACTGCGCCATACAACTGGAGGGTTTTCATCTCCTCTGTGCAGACAGAGATCGTGTACTCTCCGGTGGGAACACAAAAGGTGGAGGAGTCTGCTTCTACATCAACAACGCCTGGTGCTCCGACTTGACAGTGATCTCCCAAAACTGTTCTCCTTCTCTGGAATATCTCTTCATAAACTGCAAACCGTTCTACTCTCCACGTGAGTTTGTCTCATTCATACTCTGCTCTGTTTACATTCCACTGAGTGCGGACGTGCACGAGGCCGAGCGCGCGCTCGCGGAGCAGGTTATGAGCGTAGAGAGGAATTTTCCGGACTCCTTAGTTATAATCCTCAGGGACTTTAACAAAGGAAATCTCAGTCAGGAACTACCACAATACAAACAGTTTGTAACATGCCCGACCAAAGAGGGCAACACATTAGATCACTGTTACACTACAGTAAGTGGTGCCTATCGCCCTGTGGCTCACGCAGCTTTGGGACTCTCAGATCACGCCATGGTTCACCTGATCCCTGCGTTCAGACAGAGACTAAAACTCCGTAAACCTATAGTGAGGACATCCAAATTGTGGACCAGTGAAGCTGTGGAGGAGCTACGCACGTGCTTGGACACCACGGACTGGGATATGTTTAAGGCTTATAAAGAGAGTTTAGACGATTACAAAGACACGGTGACGTCGTATATTCATTTCTGTGAAGTCCGCATCATCCAACAGCGTACCAGGGTGAAATATAACAATGACAAGCCCTGGTTTACATCAAAACTCCGGCAGCTCCGTCAGAAAAAGGTGCTTTCAGGGAAGGTGACAGAAACCGCTACAAATGTGCCAGGTACAGTTTTAGCAAGGAGGTGGCAAAGGCTAAAGCCAGGTACAACGCACGTCTGGAGCAAAGATTCTCTGCCAACGACCCTGCCTCGGTGTGGAGGGGGTTGAAAGAGATTACAAACTACAAGCCCAAAGCACCTCGTTCAACTGACGACTTGAAACTAGCCAACGACCTGAACGACTTCTATACACGCTTCGGAGTCATGGACTCACATCCCCTCACGCCCCACACAACTGGAAATCCAACCACTCTGGACCTTCCCCCTCCCCCCGCTGCCCTCTCGGGCCATGAAGAGGAAGTAAACAGACTGTTTAAGCGGCTGAGTTCACACAAGGCTGCTGGCCTGGACTGTGTCTCTCCTGCCACTCTGAGACCATGCGCTGATGAGCTAGCTCCAGTCTTCACAAGGATCTTCAACACCTCCCTTGAGTCATGCCATGTTCTAGCCTGTTTCAAGTCCTCCATCATTGTTCCCGTCCCCAAGAAACCTCGCATAACTGGACTCAATGACTACAGGCCGGTGGCTCTTACATCTGCAGTCATGAAGACCTTTGAACGCCTGGTTTTATCCCTCCTGAAGTCCATCACCGACCCCCTCCTGGACCCTCTGCAGTTTGCCTACAGAGCCAACAGGTCTGTAGACGACGCCATAAATCTGGGTCTGCACTTCATCCTGCAGCACCTGGACTCCCCAGGAACCTACGCAAGGATCCTGTTCGTGGACTTCAGATCTGCATTCAACATCATCCTTCCGGCTTTGCTCCAGGACAAGCTTTCCCTGCTCCAAGTGCCTGACTCCACCTGCAGGTGGATCACAGACTTCCTGACGGACCGGAGTCAGTGTGTGCGGCTGGGGAAGAATGTTCCGGACACTCGGGCTCTCAGCACAGGATCTCCACAGGGCTGTGTACTTTCCCCTCTGCTCTTCTCCCTGTACACCAACTGCTTCACCTCCAACCATGATTCCGTTAAGCTCATTAAGTTTGCGGATGACACCACCCTCATCGGACTCATTTCGGATGGAGATGAGTCTGCCTACAGGATGGAGGTGGACCGGCTGATGACCTGGTGCAGCAGCAACAACCTAGAGCTCAACGCCCAGAAGACAGTGGAGATGATCGTGGACTTCAGGAAAGCCATAGCCCCCCTGCCCTCCCTCGACCTCACCGACTCCCCCATCACCACTGTGGACTGTTACCGCTTCCTCTGCACCACCATCACCCAGGACCTCAAGTGGGAGCCAACCATCAGCTCCCTCATCAAGAAGGCCCAGCAGAGGATGTACTTCTTGCAGCAGCCATCTACACGGCCATCATCGAGTCCCTCCTATGCTCCTACTTCATGGTGTGGTACGCCGGGGCCATCGCCAGGGACAGACACAGACTGCAGCGCATTGTGGGCTCTGCTGAGAAGGTGATTGGCTGTAGCCTTCCATCTCTCCATGACCTGTACGTCTCCAGGACTCGGGGCCGAGCAGGTCGGATCACAGCTGACCCTTCTCACCCTGCACATGGACTACTTGAGACACTCCCCTCAGGCAGGAGGCTACGGTCCATTCGGACCAGAACCTCCCGTCATAAGAACAGTTCCTTCCCCTCTGCCGTTAGACTCATGAACACTTTAGAACTCTGTCACTTTATCACTGGTCACTTTAGTTTAATGTACTTTGGATTTTTTTAATTGCACTCCTCCCACTGCACTGTAGTTCTAGATTGTTTAGTTGTACATAGCTTTTTATACTTATTGCAGATAGCATTGTACATAACCTTTTATACTTTTATTCTCTTATACTTTATATATTTCTTGCATGCTCTTATTAGTTTTTATTCTAGTATTTTATATTTCTCTCTGTTGATTGTTGCACCATCATGCCAAAACAAATTCCTAGTCTGTGAATCCTGTTCATCGACAATGGCAATAAAACCCCTTTCTGATTCTGATAAACTTGTAAATACAGGAGGTACTTTTAAGCCTGGTGACCAGCACATCAGAATTTCTCCCTCTTCATAATATTGATCTGAGAAATGATACTGGGTGCAGAGGCTTCAAACTCCAGAAGATTAAACTTCTTTCACCTGAGATGGCTTCAAATACAGTGAACAAAATTTGCTGAGAGTCTTTGTGCTTAGTACAATGAGCTCTGAAAACACTGATCTGCTCTGCTTTTTAAAAGAAAATATAAAGTATAGGGCGCAGCCAGTGCAAAAAAAAAAAAGGTTTTTGTGGACATTGGCTCTTAAATGACATAATACCTTATTTCTTTTGCAGTCCACTGGTTAT